TATGTGATGATGATCAGGAAACCAGCTCCTAGAAACATCATTGCAGTGCGAGGTGGCAGGTTCAACCTTAGCAGGAAACGTTGACCTGGCTGGTAGGAGGTTCTGCCTCCCCGCATCGCATGAGGCTCAGGCTTTTACGCTAACGAAAATGCACACTCATTCTGATGTAGGGGGCCAGCCTGCATCGAAAGAAGTGGCCAGCTATGGATTACAAAAAGGGTCTCTGGGGGTTGGGGACTTTTTGGGGATTTCCAAAGCAGGACTTTCCAGATAGGAGCCAAAGTGAGATTTTTCAGGGAGAAGCCGTGAGGGACCATTACCTGATGTGTCTTGCAATTAGTATAAGACTCCCTTTTGCTAACAGCGGTGTTAACTCCCCTATTTTCAAGGTTAAGTTCCTACAACCGGTGCCAAACAGTACTGTTCTATTTTTGTGTGTTTCACCATGGACCATTATCTAGTGTCACTGACACAATTATGAAAAAAAATAATTGTCTGAGAAGGGTGCAATTTGGAGGAGAGAAAACATCAATGCTAATGCCTAAACCCAAGACTTGTGTGGTTAGTCAGTTTTCTCCAGATGTTGTTACCATTTGCTAAGCCTCACCAAGCACTACTGATCAGTTTATTGAATAAATGTTTCATTAAGAAAGCCAGTAAAGCACACAAGTGCCTGTATTTTTAAATTGTATTCATCAAATCTGAATGAAATTCAGCCTTTTAGCAGATCCCTACAGTCACCATAGGTTTATAAATCACTGTCTGCTGCTCTGCCAGAAAGGATACAGCATTTTTGAGACACTTCTTGCTCTTAACAGAAATAATGCCAGAGGTTTTCCACTACTTCCCTTCTTGTAGACAAATGCGTGAATGGAGAAACGTCTGCCTTACACATGATTAAAAAGGAAAACATCCACTTATGTTCTCTGCTACCTTGATCTTTTCTGGAGGCAAAATGTAGGTAAAGATTTCACTAACTTTTACACAAGTTACCAAAAATAATATATTTCTATCTGTAGAATTAAAATAATTCTGACAAATAAAACCACTATACTGTAGAGATTACATCTACCTTAACATGGTAGATATAACTGAAGGGCCCGTAAAAGATGTTGTTTGCTGCCTAGGAATAATGGCATTCCCGCACTATGCTTTTTGCGAGCTTTACACAGCAACAGGCAGGAGTGTTGAGTACATTCCTCATGTGACAGAGACCAGCAGGATGTGCAGGAAGAATAAGACTGTCTCGTAGCCTTCTAGGTTCTTTGTGATAAATCTCCATTGCCAAAGCTGCTGTCAGAAGTCAGAAACCCCAAAGGAGATAATAAAGTGGCTTGCATGTAGATAAGTAGCTACATAATCATAGACAAGGTTTTTGAAAAAGAAAGCAAGCATGTATTTTTTTGTGTTATAGTCATTAATAGTGTAGTGTAACTATATGCCAATACTACAATAGACCTAATGCATGCTAATAGAGTGGTAAGGAAAAGAGATGGCACTCTGTCAACGGAGGACAGAGCTTGATATTGAAAATCCATTTTAAATATTGTATTTAGTATTCATCATCAGAAAAAGATTTAGCAGAAAGTGCATCCCAAAGTGGCAATCAAAAAACTGATTAGAAGTGTGAAAAGATTTCAGTTTGAAGGAGGAGAAAAGATTAAGCCTTTTTGACTGGTGGGTAGGTAAGTAAAGGGAGACATAAGGGAATCAGAAATTAAAAGCCCAGTCCAGCTAAGAGTGGAGTCATTGGGAAGCCTTTCACTAGCTTCAGGAGAGGCTGCAGTAGGTTCTCAGTCAGTTAATCCTGGTTGTTATTTCATGGTGTAGGAAAAGGGAAAATACAAAATGAAATGTACAATGAAATTATATTGCGCATGTGAAGTACAGTGTATCTGTTGTACTCCCTACCGCTAGATATTGCCAAGGAACACGAGGAAAACAAGGGTGATATTTACTCTTCTCCCAGGTACCAGAGCAGATCCAGGCACTGCTTCTGAGAACGTGCACCCGAATCTTGCAGAGCCAGGAGGAGAAAGTGGTGCTCAGGGGTCGCTAGAGCTCAAAGGATGAGACTACCTCTCCATGCCATTACAGGATAGCATGGGGCAGAGCTGAAGAGACATCTTCCCAGCCACCCCTTTTTCCAGAACTAGGGGTTTGCCCAACTCAACAGCTCCCCTGCTGCTGCAGAGGATGTCCCGGCTCTTGCGGAGATGCTCAGAAGTTTGTCGGCTTGCTACATGCTGGAAAACGTAGAAGACTTACCATTCCTCATGTTGATCCACTCAGCAGCTTGAGTTCAACAAGAGACATCTTTAGTATGCATACAAGGTATCCTGTTAATCGTTTTGAAGTGATTTCTCTAGGGGTAGTCTAGAGGTAAAGAAGTTTAAATGCTTGTCCTAAGTATGTGCCTTCTCCTCTATTAAGTTTCCTCTAGTGCTCTACGTGTGATAATTACTGTTTCTAAACTGCTAATTAAGCTTCTAGAGACGGAGATGCCTGATTATAGTGAGTTTCAAAACACTAGTGCACTGGGAGTGGGATTTTCTCCTTGAACTGTGCCTGAAGATCAGCACTTCAGGGCTTGTACATTTAACATAATGTTATCAATCCTGCATGCTTTTCAATACCATTTTTCAAGAAACACTTCTGATGAGATGATTTTGCCCTCATGTGATGCTGATATGGAGTTTTACAACGAGTATCATTGTGGCTAGGATTTTAGCGCTAATCTTTTGTTGCTCTTCACTATGAATTAGTCTACCTTTAAAATCTCTTTCTGAGAACATGAAACAGTTTTTGGTCCCAGAAAGCCCTCACCTCACCCCAGCACAACCAGAAGATACCACCCTCACATTGTTCTCCCTCTTCTCAGCCTTCTACAAATGCCGTCCATGATGCTGGGAGCAGCAGAAAGGATAGAGTAGGAGACAAGTTGAGCATGCCTTCTTCCAGCAGATTTCTTCATTTTCAGAGCAGATAGTGAGCCTGAATGACGAGCAAGCCCAGGGCTATGATCCTTCTTCTGGATGCCCTTCTCACCCAGGCAGGGGTCTGCCAGGAACAGGGTGATAACCTGTAACAGAAGCAGCACCATACTGCCACCAGCTCTCTTACCCTGGCTCACTTGCAGGAGAGGGTTAAAGGCTGAAAACACGGTGCCAGAGGATGAATTTTGTGATTTTCCCCACATATACCCTATTCTCTTCCAAGAAAAAGAAAAATCCACTGGAGTAAGCAGGTAAAACCTTGGACTGATTTTTTTTCATGGATTATTTTCAACATTAATTTGAAAATACATTTCCTCATGTCAGATGGACCTTTTAATCGTTTGTCAAGAAGATAGTACTTGGGAAGTAATAATTAGGGCTGGGGAGTGTGAGAGAGGTTCAAAGGACTTGTCCCTCCTGACAGAATAAAGTAACAGCTACAGAAGGCACATAAATCAGTACTGAAATCAAGCATGCTACAGTGGCTTACAACTATGGGCCATTTTACCCAGCTTTTTGGGAAAATACTTAAATGTGTCTTGCCAAGAGAGCTATGAAGGGGAGGGCACTGCAAAGGAAGGAATGAGCAACAAAAAATGGAAGGAGAGAAAAAATAAATACCAACAAAAGATTTTTTTATCTAAGACAGGCTGGCATGGTGATTGAAGGTGATTAATTAAAATCTGGGTTTCTGGGAGTTATCTACCAGATCTGAGCCTCTTTTATCTAATAAATTCCTTTCCTTTACTACCAATGCTGTCTATTGGCAAAACCCTATTATTTTTTCAAGCTTTTGTTCAGGGACAGACTGTGACCTGTTGACCAGTCAAAGACACAGGGAGAAGACGCAATTCCTTTGAAATAAGCAACCCACCTGGCCCGAGCTTTACTCTCAGCAGCTAACATATAACTGAAATTTCCTTTCATACATTAAACTCAGGCTGTTGCATAAACACTGCAGGGTAGTTAAAAACGTAAGTTTTTTTTCTTTGTTGACAGGTTCTGGCATACATTTGGAAAAACACTCAGCTGTGCACTGAACAACAAAGCAATGGCTTGGTGGTTTGGGGTTTTGTTGCTGTCACAGGTGCGGAATCACCAACTCCTTTAAAAAATATATTTCATTATGTGTTTCTGTGTCAGCCTTTCCCTCTAAGCTGCCGGCAGCAGGAAGCCCTTTATGAGCAGAAACACCTGTGGATGTTTCTCATTTTTGTGTGCATACTTCAACATTTCAAAGGGCATTCCTTGGCTTGCAGCTCTTCATGCAAAGTCAAAGCTCACCTGCTTGGTTTGTGAGACCACGGGGCAAGTATTTTGTCTTGGGGGCCCTGTTTGCGGGAACTCTCACATAGGGTTAGTTGCAGCTGCATTTAAACAGCTATAAAAAACGACTCCTGAAAACCACTTCAAACGGAGCATGGTTCTAGCCTGGTCATGGAAAACCCTTAATACCGAGCAGCAGAGAACTGTGCCCGGGGTTTCTGGCCAGTGGCGGGGTCAGGCTGTGGCTTCTCGGTGCAAGCAGCGCACGACGGGCACAGCCCCCCATGCTGGACGCACTCAGGGGTTACCAACATCAGAGCCGCCAGCATGGCCAGCCTCACCTTCACCGGAGCGCGTCCCAAACGGGGGCTTACAAACCAACCGCGGTTGTGATCCCAGTTCACAGACAACCGCGACTGTGATCCCAGCAGAAAACCCCTCGAACGCAGCGCCTGACCAAGGCGGCGGGAGAACGACGAGCGCAGCCTTCCACAGCCTTCCGGGACTCCCCCCGCAGCCAGGCCCGGCCGAGCGGGTCCGAGGCGGACAAAGCCGGCGGGAGGCGGGGAAGAGCGAAGGGCCGCGCCGCGACGGGACGGCCCCACCGCCGCCACACACGGCGCCTTCGGGCCAGCCCGGGGGCGGCCCCGGCACGGCGGGGGGCAGCGGGCCCGGCCCGGCCCGGCCCCGACGGCGCCGCCCGCTAACCTCCCCACCCCGGCCCGCCGCCGCCCCCGGCCCGCCTTCGCGCTGGGGCGGTCGGCGGCTCCGCGCCCGCCGCCGGCATGGAGGCAGCGGGGCGGCGCGGCCCAGCCGAGGGGCGCCCCGCCTGGGGGGTGCTGCACCCCCTGCTCCTCCTCCTCCTCCTAGCAGGTCAGCGGCGTGCGTGGGGCAGGGGGAGCCGCGAAGCCGCAGGCAGGGGGTGCGAGCGGTGCTGGGAGGGCTGCGAGGGCCGGGGCACGGCGGGTTACGGCAGGCGCACGGGCTTCTCCTGGTTGCCGGAGGTGGAATTGGCAGCAGAGGTGGAAGGCGATGTTCGGGGTGTCCCAGCAGAGCTCTCTCGGGCAGAAAGTGCAGTGTGCGAGTCCTTCTCGGGCTGCAGGGAGGTTAAATGCGTGTCCTGCGGGAAAGACGAGGTGTGGTGTCCTGTCCCGCACCTCTCGGTAGCGCTGGGTGTTGCGAGGGAGCAGGAGCCACAGGACGCGGCTGCCCTCACATCTGGTCCAGTAGCTGTGCTTACCGGTCATGTTGCGGGCACAGCTGTAGGTGCGTGTGTCGAAAAAGTAGGTAATGGTGCGAAAGGCTGAAGCTCCTGTCATGGAGGTCCTGCGGGGTAACGGTGCGAAGGCCATGCCATGAAGCGTCCCTTGTTCAGGCATGGCGGTTACCTCACAGTAGAGCCCATGCCAGTCGCTGGCTTCTTCTCTCCTCTTTGTGGAGACAAAAAGTACCTCTGGCTGCCCCAGTTCACTAGACTGAGGGGCTGGTCTTCAACCGATGGGTCACTTGTTCCATGTTTTGTGCTTGTGAGTTTCCTCAACACAAGGGTACAGGCTGAGGGCACAGCTGCATGAGCTGACCCTTGTGATGTGTTGGGTAGCCTTCTCCAGCCCTCACCGTTGGTGCTTGTTTTCAAGCAGAGACCAGGCATGAGCAGGTTTGGAGAGCTGACCTGTGGAAATGTAGCAAGCAGGATTAAGGTTTGGGATGGATCAGCAGCGTGAGCCATTTGCTGTGCAGTCAGTGTGCAAAGGAACCTTGGTGCAAGGTGGGAACTTGCGGACAGAGGTGGGACGGGATCAGGACTGTGTCAATGGCTGATATGAGGCAGGGTTGCCCAGATCCCAGCACGTGGAAAGTTGGATCAGCAAGTATGAATGACAGTAATGGAATGGGAGAGCGGGAACCACTTAGCATTATCTGCTGCCTAGGGAACAGGAGCCGCGGAGTGTCAGGAGTGCTTCCGCATTGTTTGCCATCTTCGTTTTTTGGGTCTGTGCTCTGGCAGCATGTGACCAAAGAAGTCACCAGGGGTGGTGGTATGTGGGGCAGGGAGTCCATTTGGATTCATCCAGGCTGCAGCTGAGGACCTGGCAGTGGGGAGGAAGATCCGGGAAGCACAGGATCTCTGAGGGAGTTTTTACAGTGCAGTGTCAGTACCCAAACTGTAGGGTGTTATTTACCTGACTAAGGGCTTTGAAAACACTGAATTGCGATAGCACAAGAGGCTGATAGCTTTAAAATAGCTTCTCACAGCAATAAAAGGATATGTGTTCTTCCACATTTCTTAACTGTGAAGAGCTCTCTTTCTGTTGTGGCACAGTGTGTGTTGTTCCTCAGTCTGACGCAGCATTGCTGCTGGAAACATTTGCGGCCCTGGCTGGGCAGGACAAAGCCTTCAGCAGTGGGGCTGATGGGCACCACCATGCCACGCTGGCCATGACCATGGAGCTGAAGCAGAGTGAGGGGATTGCCACCAGCTGGCAGGGGATGAGGAAGCCCCGGGCAGCTCTAACCTGCACCCCAGGCTAGGGCTGGGCAGGGACTGGGGGAGGTAGCCAGTTCCCAGGCAGCTTCCTTCTCTTGCGCCACCCTGCAGCTGAGGGAGACAGGCAGTGTGGCCTCAGGTTTCCTTCTGGACTCCTTGCTGGAATGGAAGGAGGTGGTCTGAGGTGTCTTTATGTTTAAAAATGCCTTTTTCTTATTTTAAAGTATTAAGCATGAGGAGAAACTGATATGGCCAGCTATAAAATACCCACGCACAAAGCACCTAACTCTGAAATGCAGAATGAGTGGGAATGGGTTGCCACTAGGATTACAGGGTCAGGTTGTGCCTCAAGTGAAGTCCTGTGATTGTATAAAACTGTTAGATTGCATTTTCTTCAAAGCTGAGCTGTACCGCATTTTGTTTTTGCTGCTGTTTGACCGCATGAATGTTATTTTTATTCAGCAGAAGATTGTCTGGCTCAGTGTGATAATGACTGCAAAGCTTACTGCTGTGATGGGACTACTCCCTACTGCTGTTCATATTATGCCTACATTGGGAATGTCCTTTCGTAAGTATATCTGCACTTTGAAAAGGAATGATGTGCTGTGTTCATGAACACTAAACTTGGGGTGCAGGACACTCTGTTTTGGCAGTAAATGGTGTCAGGGTTTGGGGTTTTGGGATCTTGGTTCGGTGTGTTATTTTTCTTGCTGGTAGCAAAACACTGGTATTCCTCTGAAGTCTCATGTTGCATATATTTTTGAAGCGTACCAGAAAGTATGCTAAAGTATGCTAAAATTGAGGGTTATGTATTTAGCCTGTGTACAATAATATAATTTGTGGGTGTAAGCTTTAGAGGTAGTGAGAACTTTGTTTCAAGCTCTTCAGATGAAAAGGGCTGTGAATAGAAATCTTGTGGGTTTTGTTGAAATGCTTTGTTACACTACCTGAGTCAAACCACTTGGATTTGAGACCTTTTGCTTTGAGTAAAAACCCCCTTTTCTTTTTAATGACTTGTTTGTTTTTATTAAGTGGTGTTTTGGCTTTTCCTGGAATTTATTGAATAGATTCTAGGTGAGGGTAATCTGACCCTTTAACACTGTGGTATGAATAGCATGTTTCACAGTTCTTAAAAAAGACCACAGCAGGTGAAACGGGGTGGTTGTGAATATTTCTCATCTAGAGAAAAATATAGGAGTAAATTGTTGATTAAAAGCATAAGCTCTAGTGAAGCTGTTTAGCTATACATCAGTGAGGAAGAAAAGAAGTTTGCATGCTAGTGAACCTGACTCTAGGCTTTGGTCTTAATTCAAGTGAAAATCCATAAGTATTATGTTCATGTGTGAGGACAAACCTAAATAAAACATAAAATCATAGTCACAGAATGATTTGGGTTGGAAGGGACCTTAAAGATCATCTAGTTCCAACCCCCTGCCATGGGCAGGGACACCTTCCATTAGACCATCCCTGGCCTTGAACACTGCCAGGGATGGGGTATCCACAGCTTCTCGTGTAACCTGTTCTGCTGCCTCACCACCCTCATAGTGAAGAATTCCTAATCTAAATCTGTTGTTCTTCAGGACAGGGCATCTTACTTTCTGTTTCATCAACCCCACCTTCAGGGTAGGGCATCTTACCTTCTCTTTCATCAACCCCACCAGTAATCTCCTTAACATGTGTTCTGTAATGTATTTTTGGTTTATATTTTTGACTAAACCAGAAAAAGAAAAGGAGGCTCGTCATACGGACTGCTTGGTGCTTTGGGAGGAGTGAGTGGGAAGGTGATAGTTGCTTTCTCTAAAAAGACTCCTCTCTTGCAGTTTTTGTTTAAGCCATGGTACCTGGGGAGCATGCCAGTGTTCCTTCAGCATATTTTATAGCACTTTGAAGGAGTAGGCAGAGTGATGGTGTTTTAATACAGAATCAATCCACAGTTTTTAAAGCAGATCAGACACTTCCTGGACTAAAGTAAATAAAATTATAATAGAGCACTAGAATCCTTCATTGCTCTGGGAAGAAAAAAAACATGTACTTAAGATTGATTACTGTTGGGGAATGACAACACATCTTTTTTCCTGCTTACCTAGGGAATGTCTGCTTTAATTTATTTATTTTTTTTTTCTTTTCTCATTCCAAAATTGCTTTCCCATTTACATGTGTGGAAGGAGGTGATGGTTTTGAGTACCTTATTCCAGCTCGTGTAGGGTTAGATATGATGGACACAGTAGCCTAGGATATCACATTATAAGAAGGTGGCATCCCATAGACTGCGTGGATTTCATCTCCTACTTCCACGTGAGCATCAGTGGCATTTGTCCAGCCTAATGATAGAGCTGTGCTTTGAGAAGGAGTGACCAGGGAATTCTTTAGAGCGACTGCTGAAATGTTCAAACCGTGCCTTCAGCACCAGGTCGACACAGAATCTTTTGTATGTTTATTTAACAAATGTAAACAGCTATTAAATTAAAGCTGAGTGCCAGTGGCTTTGACACACTGGAAGGGTTTGTGTGTGTTTGGATGGGTTTAAATACTGGAGGGGGCTCTTAAAAGTGCCATTTACCACAACATGTCTCAGAGGAGACATTTGATTCTTCTAATTTTTTATGGTTAAGCACTCCAATTCATAGACTGGAAGACCAGGAGTCATTATACTCTTCTGAGCTGACATTTTGTGTGATTGAGCGTAGTAGATTATTTTTTTGTCCCCTAAAATCTTCTTTAAATGTGTGTAATCTCACTTTGAAAACTTCAGGCATTAATGGGTTGACCATCTCTCCTGGTAAACTGTTCTGTAGTTCATTTACTAGCATTTCTGAGAAATTTTGCTGGGAAATGAATGTTGGAATCCTACTGTCAACTCTTAACTTACTTGCAAATTTGAAATGTGGCCCTAAGTAGTCATCATGACAGCTCTTAACCTTATCGCTGAGACGGATGAACTCTGTCAGCCTCACATGTAAGATTTGCTTTGTTTCTGCTCTGGGGTCAATTCTTTGGCCTTCCTTTCAGCTCCCTCTAGTATTTGTTGAAGCATGGCTAGTAGGGCTGAGCACACAGTTTTGACAGAAGCCTTGCCAGGATTATTTTTTCCTGTATCTTTCTTTGAGTACCTATTCTGAAGCAGCTATCTGTGATCATCACAGAAGGTTGTTTACCTTAACAATTCGTTCCAGCTCTAAGTCTTTAAGCCATGGTCTTCAAAGCATGCCTACTGCTTTAAGCCTGCAAACTGTTCTTTGCTAGGCTTACTACCTTGCATTTATAGCCTTGCAAAAGACGTTATTGTGACTTTTAACTATGATCCATAAGAATAACCTTCCCTTTTCATTATTTGGCATTATATTGGTCTTTTATGTGCAAGCTTTTCACACAGAAGTTTCATGTTTCCTCACCCTCAAATGGCAAACCAATGAAATTGCATTAGAAGAAGACACAATCCCTGGAATTGGGAAATGGCCACTAGCTACTTACCTGCCTATGTCTTTCTGTTAACAACTGTGTATTGAAATCTTTTAAAGAATGATTTTTAATCCAACAAATTATGTGTGCTGCTAGTTCCATGTAATGCTGTTCTTTAAATATCCTTCTTTTCCTGTGTCACCATTTTTGATACTACCGTCTACACCAAACAATGCACTTGATCTGCATGGGTGCTTTCAGAAATGTCTTTTTACTGCCTGAAACACCATTAGGAGTCCTCAGTGTTGTTTTGGCTCCTCTCCTTCTTTAGAGGTTGTCTGTGCTTCATGTGTTTACCACTGATTTCTGTGCTCTGTCTATTCTTTATAAATCTGTATGTCTTTCTGAAGTTTCTGTTCTTTTCTGGGTTGGTTTTTATTTCACAAGCATAATTCTCTGTTGCCATTTTGGAAAAGCTTTTTAGCATGCAATAGGTTCTTTTTAAACAATTTTCTGTTTTGTTTCATGCTTCTCTTCTTTTTCTAGACCCATATGCCAGCAATTGTGCAGACAGGCTATAAACACCAGGCAGTGATGTATATACTGATTTTAGAACAAAATCAGTGTGACTAGATCATGCTCATTGATACTTACGTTGCTTGTAGCTTTTAGGTGATTAATTAACTCTCTTCACTCATTAAAATGAGATCAACATTGAATTATTCCATGTAAGGGTTTAGAATTTTCTATTTTAGGAAATTATCATCTTTTTAGGACACCAGGGAATTTTTTTTCTTCAGTCAGATGAGGTTTTCAGCAAACATTCTCCTGGCTGTGTGCATCTCTGATTAGCCTGTTTTTCTTTCCACACATGAAGAACAGATGCAGAATTATCAGCTCACTCTAGTATTAGGATTTCAGGGCCTGTAAGAGAAGTTCCAGTAACTCCATCTTTAGTTGGACTACAGGTATAATCTGTAAGCATTCAAGGTCTGTGATTGAATCATCTGTAGTCCCATGAGCATCTCTAATGTAAAGTAATACATCCTTCCTCCTCCTCTGCCAGCTTCATGATGCCCTTTCAGAGCAAGTTGTCACAGCATTAATGTTCCACCTATATTTCCCTTCCTACTAGTTTTCAATAGCTACAGCCTGTCATTATTTCCTCTGATGCATATGCGTTTCCTCCTGTTTATTTGCTTGGCATCTACTACTTAATAGTTAGCCCGTCTAACAAGGGTTTGGTTTGTGGTTATTTTTTTTTTTTGACAAATTACAGATTTATGTTTAAACTTGTGCAACATAACAGAGCTGTGTCTGTAGGATGAAGGAAAGGTGCAGGGATCCTTGAGTGCTCAAACTGTTCCTCCTGCCCAACTTTTCATTCCCCACCAGAAGAAAGCTTGGAGGCATCCTTCCCAGCCTTCAGCATCATCCCAGATCTTTGAGTCAGGAAAATGAGACTGCCCTTCAGAAGATACTTTCTGAGCAATTGGGCTCATTTGTGACTGACCTTTTACCAGTTTCTTTGTGCTTCATCTGCTTCTGCAGCTCGCTACCAGGCTAGGGACTGCAACAACTGCAGTGTTATCTCTTGTGATGGATGCTCCAGGTTTGCCCACAACAGTATCTTCCTAACTATCAAACCAGCAGCATTTTGACTGAGGAGTTGGAGACATCTGGTTATTGCCTTCAGCTCCAGCCTCAAACCCCAGTGCTCCTCAGAGGTGGGAATTGGTATGAAAGTGGTTTCTTCTGCAGAACCCAAATTTGAATGTGTGCTTCTGACAGCGCTTTTTGTATTTGCATCTGACAGGCCCCAAATTGTCTGGCCCTCATGCTTTCCCTGGTGGATTTTCTAACAGCTCATTTCCAACTTTTTTTGTCTTCTTGTTGTGCCTTGTGTTTATCATGGCTCATAGGTAACTTCTGAGCCACAGAGAGCTCTCTGGCCAGAGATGCCAGTAGATGCATGCTGTCAGGAGTGGTTCTAGATGCTATCTTTGCTCTTGCACAGCACTTCGTGACCAGCAGCTGTGAGTTGATGTGAAATAAACCCAGATTCCAAGTTAAATAGTGGAGCAAAAAGAACAGAAAGTCAAGCTATGCTTTCAAATGAATGCTGCTTGGCCAGTTGAATATTCAGTGGGAAATGAAGGGAATGACACC